AAAAAAAAAAAAAAAAAGTGCTGAAAGACTGGAAATAAGGAAAAAGAACATAGAGAAGGGGAAAAAAATAGAAAAGGGAAGAAAAATGAGAATGCAAAAACAGGAGTAACAGAAGTCTCCGAAAGAGAAACAGAAAACATAGTGGGAACACTTTCCTGGCATTTTGGCAAGCGCTGTATCTGTTCATTAATTGAGGGAACAATAGCATGAGATTACATGACGCGTAAGCGCTCATGTGAGATCACACACAGTAACATGAGATTACACGCACACAAATCGTACCTGAGTAATGTCACCAGGAAAAGTAGGAGAGAGTAAAAGAAGTAGATGAGAGTAACAGAAGTAGATATAGGTAAAAGAACACGATCACTTATCTCAGTAATTGCTATCCAAGATAGTTAGCGTGCGCGGTAAATAGTTCATTAACTGAGGGAACAACAGCATGAGATTACATGACGCATAAGCGCACATGTGAGATCACACACAGTAGCATGAGATTGCACGACGCGTATGCCGCACACGACGCATATACCGCTGTATCTGTTCTAAAATCTAACGAGTTCAGGTGGTCTTCTTTTTTTTTTTTTTTTTTTTTTTTAAGAATTTTCAATTTGGACCATTTTTTTATTTTTACTCGTCGTCCTTGTCCGGGGGCGGTTCTAATCTTCAGTCTCATTTGTTGTTCCAATTTTAACGGATGTCTGGAATGACAGTTTACACACAGTCTTTCTGGGCATTTTGGCTAAGATCACGCGCAGCGCAGTATCTTTTCTGATAAGCGGAAATGCAAAAAGAGTAGGGCTGAGAAACACACACTGAACAGTGGGGTTCTATTCTCTTCCCCTGAATACAACGTACACGTCGTACACACGTTGTTTTACTGTACCTAGACTGAAAGTTGCTCCAAATGGCTCATACAGCTATAATGACCACACATTCTCTTTTCCTTCTTCCTCGTCGTCTTCTTTGTGTTTGATTTTAATGACCCTAGCTTCTTTTCTTTTTCTTTTTTTTCTCTTCCCCCCCGCCCCCCCCAAAAAACAAAAAAACAGCGCCTTATGGCTCTGGCTCCTTGTCCTATGAGCATGCATTCTTTTCGCAGGGAGACGGACGGTAGGTCTGGCGAGGGCCTGCTGACATTGCTTTCCTGAATTGTGTTTGTAGAATAATGGTGATGTCACAGAGGTGGTTGGGCAGACATTTGAAGAGATTGTGCTGGATGAGACGAAGGATGTCTTTTTAAAGGTGAGTGGTAATGACCTCTCCAGTGGCATAGTCCGTTTTTTTTTTTTTTTTTCCTTCTTATTTTAAAGTTTTCTTAACTTTTCTATTTTTTTTTCTATTTTTTGTTTTGTTTTTTAATTGCTTGTATGCAGACTGAAATTGGTTTTCACAGCGATGTCAAGACGTCAACTTCTGTTTACAAAACTCTGTTCGTTAAACTTTATTATTATTATTATTATTTTTAATGTTTTTAATTGTTTTCCTTTTATTATTGTTTAACGAAAACTCTGTTCATTTTGTGATTCCATGCTGCATCGAATTTTTTTTCAAGAACTGTCACAGAAACAGCTTTGTAAAAGCAAAATTGCAAACAGACGCTCCTCCGAGAATTGAAAAGAAGAGCCATGAGCGTAACGGCTAGTCTTTTTTGTTTCTCACATTTTAAAAATCGCCTTCTTTAAAAAAAAGAAAAAAAATTGACGCCTTGTAAAAACACTACCAAGTTGCAAACTCAATCTGGATGCTTCGGAAAGACAAGGATTTGCGACGCACCGGCGGCTGTGATGTAAGGATCTCCTCCTCCCTTTTTTGCGCAGTTTGCGCTCGGTTACTGCTGCCCTACCTTTCTGGTTGTCGATGTGAGATGTAGGTACAGCGACGTCACACTCAAGAGAAGAGAGAAGAACTCAAAACTCATGGAGAGTCACACACAAGTTACCTTGAAGAGTAAACTCACAGGTCGACAAGAGCAAACATGTTGGATACGAACTGGTCGTCACCATAGATGAGGATAAAAGTGCAACAGACTCAGAACAGAGGAGCCGACCCAGACCGCTGACCGTTTTTCAGCCGACCGGTCGGCGGTCTGCCGACCAGTCAGAATACAGTCATCCACTGATTGTTTTTTCAAATCTGAGTTGGGGGCTGTACTGCGCTTGCTGAGTACAGCCCAAATCCACTGAGAAACTTTCGGGGATGGGGGGGGG